TGGATAGACCCCTGGGGTTTGGGGTGAAAGTGGGGGGGTTTGGGACTGTAGGGACTCGGAGGAGGGGGCTCAGCCCACCCTGGGTAGACCCCTGGTGGGGAGCGGCGTTTTGGGGTGAAAGTGGGGGGATTTGGGAGTGTAGGGGCTCGGGGAGGGGGCTCAGCCCACCTTAGATAGACCCCTGGGGTTTGGGGTGAAACCGGGGGGTTTTGGGAGCCTGGACCCCCGGGGAGGGGGCTCAGCCCGACCTTTTGGGGGGGAGCGGCATTTTGGGGTGAAACTGGAGGGGTTTGGGAGTGCAGGGGCTCGGGGAGGGGGCTCAACCCGACCCCTGGGGGGGGGAGGAACGTTTTGGGGTGAAACTTGGAGGGTTTGGGAGCGCAGGGACTCAGGGAGGCAGGCTGAGCCCCCTCCCCCCCCACACACCATGGGCGTTTTGGGGTGAAACTCTGAGATTTTAGGATCATGGACACACAGGGAAGGGGGGGGTCTCAGCCATAGAGCCCTGGGGGACAGCAGCGTTTTGGGGTGAAACTCTGAGATTTTAGGGTCATGGACACACAGGGAAGGGGGGGGGTCTCAGCCATAGAGCCCTGAGGGGCAGCAGCGTTTTGGGGGAAATCTGTGGGGTTTTGGGAGTGAAGGGGATAGAAGGGGGAGGCTCAACCCCCCTTTCCCCCCCCAGATCCCTCCATAGACCCCTGGGGGGGATGGAGCAGCATTTTGGGGTGAAATTGTGGGGTTTTGGGAGCCTGGATCCTCAGGGGAGGGGGCTCAGCCCACCCTGGAGCCCTCACCCCATCCCTGGACACCCCAAAGCCCACCCAGTGCCCCCCCAAATCCTCCCCTGTCGGGAATTGTCCTTCCCCTGCTTTATTTTACTCCAAAAAGGCTCAGTTTTAACCTAAATTTCTCCCGGAGTGGGGGGAGGCTTTTGGGGTGGAGTTTTTTTTTTTTTGGGGGGGATGGGATCCCTGTGGATTGTCCCAGGGAAAGGGGGGATGTGATCCAGTGGGATAAACCCGTGGAAAAATCCTCATTTGCTTTTGGAATTGCTTGTGGCTTTTGGGATTGTGACTTTTGGGATTGTGACTTTTTGGGATTGTGATTTTTGGGATTGTGACTTTTGGGATTGTGACTTTTTGGGATTGTGACTTTTTGGGATTGTGATTTTTGGGATTGTGGCTTTTGGGATTGTGATTTTTGGGATTGTGACTTTTTGGGATTGTGATTTTTGGGATTGTGGCTTTTGGGATTGTGACTTTTTGGGATTGTGATTTTTGGGATTGTGACTTTTGGGATTGTGACTTTTGGGATTGTGACTTTTTGGGATTGTGACTTTTTGGGACTGTGACTTTTTGGGACTGTGACTTTTTGGGACTGTGACTTTTGGGATTGTGGCTTTTGGGATTGTGATTTTTGGGATTGTGATTTTTGGGATTGTGACTTTTGGGACTGTGACTTTTTGGGATTGTGGCTTTTGGGATTGTGACTTTTGGGATTGTGGGTCTCCGGACAAGGAGCTTCCCAGGGAAAGGGGGGATGTGATCCAGTGGGATAAACCCATGGAAAAACCCCCTTTGCTTTTGGAATTGCTTGTGGCTTTTTGGGATTGTGACTTTTGGGATTGTGACTTTTGGGATTGTGACTTTTGGGATTGTGACTTTTGGGATTGTGACTTTTTGGGATTGTGACTTTTTGGGATTGTGACTTTTGGGATTGTGACTTTTTGGGATTGTGATTTTTGGGATTGTGACTTTTGGGATTGTGACTTTTTGGGATTGTGATTTTTGGGACTGTGACTTTTGGGATTGTGACTTTTGGGACTGTGACTTTTTGGGATTGTGGGTCTCTGGACAAGGAGCTTCCCAGTGTCCCAGGGAAAGGGGGATGTGATCCAGTGGGATAAACCCTTGGAAAAACCCCCTTTGCTCTCGGAACTGGGACTTTAGGGATTGTGGGGCTCTGGACAAGGAGCTTCCCGGGGTGTCCCTGGCACGGGGGGATCCCTGGAATCCACAGCATCTCTTCCCTGTGGCTTTGTCCCCCCCCCAAAAAAAAGAAGGTTTGTTTTCCCTGGAAAAGCTGATCCAGGGAATTGGGGGGTGGCTGAGGAGCCCCTTGTGCCAGAGGGGGGGGTTTGGGGGGTTGGTTGTCCTTCTCCAAGGAATTTTTCTCCTGGTTTTGGGAAAGGATGGGCTGGGCTGGATCCCAAAAAACCACCTCACCCCCGTTCCCTTCCCTCTGAAACCTGAATTAGTTGGAAAACTCACCCCCCCGAGGCTCCTGTGTGCTCCCTGTGCAGCTGGAATTGAGGAGCTGCCGAATTCCAGCCCCATCCCAGGTGGGAAAGGGGCAGGATCAGGCCTCGGCTGCCGGACTTTTCCAGGGATTAAGGCTCTCTCTGCTCCCTAAATAGCCACAGGCTCCGGCTCTCCTTAAGGTCAGGAGCCTGCAGTGCCCTGGCCGGGCCGGGAGTCGCTCGGGGCCGGGAGGAATTCCGGGAAAATTGTCCAAATTCCCTGGAAAAACGGGATGGTTTCGAAAAAATGATTTAAAAAGTGGGCTAATTGGAGCGATTTCCCCATGGAAAACCAGCAGCTCCTGCTTTCCTGTTCCAGCAGTGGCTCAGGGGTGTCCAAGGAATAGGGAGGCTCCCAGAAATTGTGGATTCCCCATCCCTGGAAGTGTCCAAGGCCGGGTTGGAGCAACCTGGGATAGAGGGAAGTGTCCGTTGGGAACTGGGTGATCCTTAAGGATCCAGGATTCCATGTGCTGGTTTTGATTGGATATTAGGGATAAACTCTTCCCTAGGAAAGTGGGGAGGCCCTGGCACGGGTTGCCCAGAGGGAATTGTGGATTCCCAACCCCTGGAAGTGTCCAAGTCCAGGCTGGAGCAACCTGGGATAGCGGGAAGTGTCCTTTGGAACTGGGTGATCCTTAAGGTCCTTTCCAACCCAAACCATTCCAGGATTCCATGTGCTGGTTTTGATTGGATATTAGGGATAAACTCTTCCCTGGGAGTGTAGGGAGGCCCTGGCACGGGTTGCCCAGAGGGAATTGTGGATTCCCAACCCCTGGAATTGTCCAAGTCCAGGTTGGAGCAACCTGGGATAGCGTGAAGTGTCCTTTGGGAACTGGATGATCTTTAAGGTGCCCTTCCCAACCCATCCCATCCCATTCCATAACTCCATGACCCTCTTCCCAGACAGGCTGTGATCCTCCCTGCTGCAGGGACCTGTGGCTTTTTATTTTAGGGAAAAGCTTGGGGAGGAAAACCATTCCCTCCGGGCCAGGTTATTCCATATCTCGCTCCGGGATTTCTCACCCCGGCAGCGCCGTCGGCGCCGGACAAACCAGCTCTGCCAGTCCCTGTTTTCCAGGAGCTGGAGTGGCTGGAATTAATCATTACCCTGCCCTGCCTGGGAGAGCCCTGGGAAGTGGGGAATTTGGAGCTGGAATTGCTCCTGGAAGGCGGGAAGCGGGAGCTGCTCCCGGCCCTTGCCCCCGGAGCGTTCCCGGGAATGCCGGGACGTGGAGAGCTCCCATCCCTCCACGCTCCCATGCCGGGCTTTTTCTGGGAAGGGTGGCATTCCAGGTGCCAGTCTGGAGGGTTTTGCCAGAGCTGGGCGTGGAACTGGAGTTTTATGGAGCAGGAGAGGAGGGAAAACGTTTAAAATGTCATTTAATGGGGACACAAATCCTTCCTTGCCCCTTCCTTGCTCCTTCCTTGGCTCCCACAGCTCTTCCCAAGCTTTTCCCGATCCCTGCCGGGCAGAGCACTCCTGTCTCCATCCCTTTCTGGGTCTGATCCCACTGGGAATCTCCCCCAGGAGGTTGTTTGACTCCGAATCCCAACAGATTTCCTGGAACTGTCGCCTGCCTGTCCCAAATCCCGGCTTTCCCCACATCCCTCCCCGGGGGGGCTTGGAATTGTGCAGGTTTGGAGGACACAGACAGTTGGGAATGCTGGAAACGGAGCCTCCCCCGTGCCAATTAAACAACTGGAGCTTAATTATTTTTCCAAACCCCCGGTTTAATTAAAAGCCTTAATTAAAGCCGAGCTTTTCCAGGATCCACCGAGTCGTTGGAGGAATCCGGGTGTTCGAGTCCTGGTGGTTCTGGTGGATCCCTGGGATTTTCCAGCTGGGTTTTTCCTAAAGGGCTCCCAAAAAACTCCTCCTGAACTTCAGCTCTGCTTCCCTTCCCTGGAAAAAACCAAAAACAAATAAGGGATGAGCAGGGATAGGGAAGGAAAAGGCGGGATGGCTCCGGGATGGATCCAGGATGGATCCAGGATGGCTCCGGGATGGATCCAGGATGGCTCCGGGATGGATCCAGGATGGATCCGGGATGGCTCCGGGATGGATCCAGGATGGCTCCGGGATGGCTCCGGGATGGATCCAGGATGGCTCCGGGATGGATCTGGGATGGCTCCAGGATGGATCCGGGATGGATCCGGGTTGGCTCTGGGATGGATCCAGGATGGCTCCAGCCCTGTGGAATCGTGGGGGGTGGTTTGGGAGCCACGTGGAGCCGGGAAGAAGGAGCTGGGTCGGATCCAGGGTCACCACAGGGATGGATCCACCGGGATGTGGGGCCAGGAAATCCCTGGAGAGCCGCTCTCATCCCGGTGTTTCCAGCGGGATTTGCCATCCGGGAGCTGTGGGAAGAGCTGGGAAGGAAACCCCGTGGGGGTGACACGTCCAGGCGGTCAGAAATGTTGGGAAACGGGGGATTTTCCCTCTTTTTTAGACATGGCAAGGTCCAAATGTGCCTCAGGGAGCTGCAGCATTCCCGGATTTCCAGCTGTGTCCGGGTGCTGCGGAGCGGGAACAGGTCCCAGCCTCACCCCCTCCAGCCCCTGCTGCCATTCCCGGGGGGGTTCACACCCCCTTCCCAGGGGATCCACCCCCTCATTCCCAAGGGATCCACCCCCCCTTCCCACAGGGATGTGGAGGGATATCCCTGGGAGCTGCCTGGATGTTGGAGCTGCTCCAACTGGGAAGGGACAGTCCGGGAGGGGGAAGGGGGAGAGGAAGCTGAATCATTTTTATTTTATTATTTATTTATTAATTTTTTTAAAAGCTGGAATTCCTTCCTTCCTGCCCCGGGAATGTCGGGAACTCGTCTGCAGGGCTGTGGCTTGGGAAAGCAGGGCCTGGCCCTGGGAAATCCTGGACATCCATAATTTCACTGAAAAACAGGCAAAAAAAAACCCCCAGGAAAAGAACCCCAGAGCAGGGAAAACAGGGAAAAAAATCCGGGAAAAGAACCCCAGAGCAGGGAAAACAGGAAAAAAATCCAGGAAAAGAACCCCAGAGCAGGGAAAACAGGGAAAAAAATCCGGGAAAAGAACCCTAGAGCAGGGAAAACAGGGAAAAATCTGGGAAAAGAACTCCAGAGCAGGGAAAACAGGGGAAAATCTGGGAAAAGAACCCCAGAGCAGGGAAAACAGGGAAAAATCTGGGAAAAGAACTCCAGAGCAGGGAAAACAGGGAAAAATCTGGGAAGAGAACCCCAGAGCAGGGAAAACAGGGGAAAATCTGGGAAAAGAACCCCAGAGCAGGGAAAACAGGGAAAAATCTGGGAAAAGAACTCCAGAGCAGGGAAAACAGGGAAAAAAATCTGGGAAAAGAACCCCAGAGCAGGGAAAACAGGGAAAAATCTGGGAAGAGAACCCCAGAGCAGGGAAAACAGGGGAAAATCTGGGAAAAGAACCCCAGAGCAGG